CAGATCAGAGAGCTTTTTCTGTTGGGTGGAAAATGCAAAGAGCACGGGGCTGAGAGTGAGAAGACCTGGCCTGAAGTTTTAGCTCTGCCACTGATACAAAATGTAGCCTTAGAAAGGGACTAAACACGTCTGGGACTTAATTAAATCGTCTGCAAAATGAGAAGGTTGCGCAATCACATTGTGTTTTAGTCACTGACAGCTCCAAACTCTGGTGCCATATAAACATTTTCTTCGCAATGTGAAGCCGGAAGAAAGCCGTGATTTATACAGAATTCTTTGTGGAATTCCTTAACAATATGAGAGTTTTCCTTTACTAATTTTGCAGCAGTTGCTGCTAGAATTGTAGCTACTACAACCAACAACAGCTATCATAGCAACCACTTATCAAGTACCTACTAGGTGCTAGTCACGATGCCAGGTACTTATCATACATTTTATTATAATTAATGTATAAATTTTGATTCCAATTTTATAGATGGAGAAACGGAGATTCAAAACAGTTGTAATACCTTGGCCCAAGGTCACATAGAGCAATAGGTAAATCTCAGAGGCGGGGTCTGAATCCAGGTTTTCTGATACCAAAAGCTTTTTTCATTTTCCTACTCTGTGTGAATGACAGGCAGTCCGCGCTAGTTGTGTGATTTGGAGCGTCACAGTCTTTATTATGATTTTAAATACCATCTAAATACTGATGTCTCCCAAAGTTTTATCTGCAGGCCTACCCTTTCCTGAACTCCAGATCTGTAATTCTATCCAAGTACTCAGCTCCTCCACTGAATGGCTAACAGCCGTCTCAAAGACACATTCAAATCTAATTCCATTGCTTAGAAAATCCTATCAGCTCTTCTGCAAAACATATCTAAGTTCGATGCCATTTTGCCACCCTCATTGTTTCTACCATAGCCAAACCACCAGCATCCCTTGCCTTCATTATGGCAGGAGGTCCCCAATCAATCCTGCTCCCAAACTTTCCCTCCACGCAGTCTAATCTCCACATAGCAGCCAGAGTGGTATTTATAAAATGTGAGTTGGGTTATGATATCCTTCTGCTGGAGATCCTTCAGCCATCACTCTGCATCTCATTCAGAGTGACTTTGGTGTCCTCATCATGGCCTACAACCGCAGCCCCGGCCGTCCACTCTCACTGACCTCATACCCTACTGCACCCTGCCTTCCCCGCTTCACCCCATCACTCTGAACTCCTTGCTGATTCTCCTTGCTGAGCACACCAGTTGTACTTCTATCTTTATACTTGGCCTTCACATTTGCTATTCTCTTTACACTTAACGTTCCCCTAGATTTCCATGTCTCAGTCTCTCCCTTCCTTCCGATCTCTACTCAGATGGTATCTTTTTAGAGAGGATTTGTCTGATCTAAAATAGTACATTGCCATTCTTCTCTTTTTACACAGCTTTATTTTTCTTAAGAGCTCTTATCACTAGTTGACATATGGTTTATTTTTCTCATCTTTCTCCTCTCAAACACACATAGATATATGAATGTAACTACATGAAAGCAGGAACTTTGTTTTGTTCAGTGTGGCATCCAATGCCTATAAACACCTGCCATATATTAGGTACTTCGTAAATATTTGCAAATGAACGAATGAATGAGTGACAAATGCAAAATAAGGTGGAATATGCATTTTAAGCTAAAATAATAAAAACTGACATGAAACATTTAAAACTGATAAGGAATTTTAGGAATATGGATCATTTTTAACTTGTTTACTATCTAGAAAATATAACCATATTTTATTTAACTAGCAAAACAAGATATTAGGCATATCAAAAGGATTTTCAGCTTTCAAAATACACCCTGGCACAAATATAGTAAGCATAAGTATAACCTCTTATTCTGCCAAAGTCAAGAAACAAAGCTAATTTGATATTCAACAACTCCTAATGAAGATAATAGCTCTTTAAGAAACAAGATAGAATTTTCTTTGGAAATAGATATATTAGTCTAAGCCTAAAATACAAATTTCTTTATTGTGAATGGGCGTTTTCTGGTTTATAAATTAATGATAATAAATACACAATGACCTCTTAACTGTGCTCAAACCCGCTGCCATCACCATTTCCAAGCATTTTAACCTTACAGCAAAAGGCATGTGTTTGAAGTCAGAAAACCAGGATTTGAGTGTAGGGCTTGTGTTGGGAAGAATAAAAGACAAAATCACTAGCAGAGTCATTTGCAAACCCTACAGTATTATATGCATCAAAGTTTACTAAGACTTGTGTTGGGAAGAATAAAAGACAAAATCACTAGCAAAATCATTTGCAAACCCTACAGTATTACATGCATCAAAGTTTACTAGGCTCTCTCATCAAGTATGCCACTACTGCCAAAAGACTAAAGAATTTATCTATCTTAGACTTTTGGTCCACTTCCTTTTTGTTTTCTTATATCTTTGCTCCAAGATGAAATATGTGAAATATAATATTTTAATTCAGGAAATTAGAGATTTTTAAAAATCTACTTTTTCTACATTAGAAGAAATTTGTGGCTTATCGGACATTTGTAAGCATCTTACCATTCACTTTAGCAAATCTTAATAGATTTACCTGGCTGCCTTCACATAACTCACATCACTGCAGACCTCCAAATAACTCTGCGCCTTGAAGATTTTCTTTCTTCTGGGAAGCAAGTGCAAACCCTCAAATTCAAGTTGTCTCAATTCTCAGAGAGCTCCCACCATAAACTCTGTCCTTAATGCCTGGATCCTCTGATCAAAACTTCTAAAACTGTCCTTGTCCTCTATCACTGGGAGGTCTCTTTTCTCAAAGGGTCTTAAATTAGGACTCATGGGTTCCCTAACTTCCTAGAGATGATCATATTCATGACATTTTCAAAAAAATACATGATCCCCACACAAAAGGTTTAGAATAAAAACTGCTTTTTTTCTTTATTAGGCTTTCTTAATTCCATCCCATCATTCAGATTCAGGACAAAATAGTTTTTTCTGACCTATTCAGACCTCCCATTTTGTTACTTGGTTTGCATCTAATTTTCTAGGCTCTGACTCATTAGTCCCTTATTTATTCAATGCATACTCTCCTAGTTATCTACTCTTAACAGAGCATTGGACATAAGTTTGAGTTTTCACATAATTTCATGTAAAAATAAAATTTACATAAAGGGTATACAGTTATCTGATAATGTAATAAATAATTTATGGAAAGATTTATTTAGTGCAAAGATTAAAAATACCCAAAACATAATAATAGACCATAATTTATAATTCAGGAGACCCAAATCTAAATCTCAACTTTATTATTCATTTCTAATGCTAACTTAAAGACCTTTATGCCCTATACAATGGCTTCTCTTTCTTGAAAAACAGAAGTAAGGAAATGTTATTCCTTTAGATAATTCACAAAAAAATTATTAAATCTTAAAGCATAAAAGAAATAACGAATTAAAGTATGTTGATGTCTATGCAAAGGACATAGGGGAGGAAGAGGAATAAACTAGATGTTAAAGGGAGACTGAATTCTAGAATGCCATGCTTCTGAAAATGTCATTTACCACACTGCCTGGCAAGCCTGGGGACATGATTTACAGCCCCTCCACCCAGAACGGAAATGAGTTCCCTGTACCAAGCTTATCTCACATCCCGAATTCCTCACTTTATCTAATTTAAACATTTTCATGGACTACTGGAGGAAGTAGGCTTTTACACCAAAAGTCTTACCATGTCATGGAATCCCTGGCCTGATCATGTCATGGAATCCAAGGCAACGACTCTTTCTAAAGAAGAAACAACGCTAAAAGTCGCCCTGAGAACCTGCTTAGATTTCAGTTTCCCCTTCAGGAACCTTACCTCTGGTTCCTGATGCGTATCAATCCCCATCCCAAGGTTTAAGTGTTCTTCCTGTAAATGTCTCTGCCTGGCAAAGCCCCAGTCTTCCAAACCTTTGCTTCCTTGGTTTTCCCAGGACTGGCTGTCAGTCAGACCACTGTCCTTCACCTAAAATAAAACCTCTCATTCACAACTACTCTATTTAACTTCTAAGAGTAAATCAAATTACCATCTCCCACCAAGGTGTCATCAATCTCAATTCCAGGAAGTTGCTACTTCAATAAGGAGAATGAAGAATAAAATGAAGATGTATGTGGTTTGACAGACAATAAGCCTTTGGAGAGAGACAGCTGTAGCAGAATCTTTGACTTGAATAAAACACAGGAACAAGTGAGAAAGAAAGAAAAGGAAAGAAGAGAAAAGAAAAGAAGAAAGAAAGAAAGAAAGAAAGAAAGAAAGAAAGAAAGAAAGAAAGAAAGAAAGAAAGAAAGAAAGGAAGGAAGGAAGGAAGAAAGAAAGAAAGAAAGAGAAAAAAGAAAGAAAGGAAGAAAAGGAAGGGAGAGTGGGGGAGGGAGGGAGGAAGGGAAGGAAAGAGAAGAGAAGAGAAAAGGAAAAGAAAGGAAAAAAGAATAGAAAAAAGAAAGAAAATAGAAAATCAGTGGGATGCTGTTGGGGAAAAGAATTGGAGATATCTGAAAGGCTGGTGTGTATACAATCACAACTGTAAGCATTTACTAACTCAAAGCTTTCAAATGCTGAAATAAAAAGCAGAAAGTAGTACAACTCAGATCAAAAAGATATAAAATTGTGCAATTCAGATCATGTACACATTTTCCAAATGTGAAAGCAGTAAGGAAAATTAGCTCCTGGAGTTCACCCATTGCAAAACATTGTAAAATATGAAGACATATAAAAGGAGAGCCTGGCAACACGATCAACATTAATGAAGAAGTCTTAGATGTAGCAGCAGTTCAGAAGGAAGCAGAAGAGTCGGGAAGAGAGGAACTACTAGAAGATGAGGAAAAGGGGGTTCACTTACCTATAATCCCATTTGCAATATGCTAACTGTTGAGTAAGAGGAGAGAAAAAAAGAAGAGCACATAACATAGCCAACCACATATATTTTTTTAAAATTCCCAGATCAATAATTCAAAGAACAAAATCATAATAAAGCAACTATTTGAAAAAAGGATATGAATGTACCAAAATCTTAATAGCTAATTTTCTAATAGGGTTGAAGGGAGTTAAAATGTACAGGGCAGGGGTGGCACTGAATCGCGAGATTGCTTTCCCTTTATTCAATACTATAAATGTCTGAAAAAGAAAACACAACACATAAAACAGAATTTAGGATCTTAATATTAAAATTAAGAACATTTTAAGAGAAAGGAAGACCATCATTTAAAATTTTGCCTTATAGAATACTATAGTAATACACTAATTACCAACATACAACATGACGATAGGGGCTTTTTCTGCCCGTGCACCATTAACTTTCCTAAATTTGGTAAGTGACATAAGGACTTAAAGGAGGAAAAAAAAAAAAAAACCTGTAGTCAATGCTGTAGGAATTTAGCATCTTTTAACAAGTTTTGGGATATCAGTATTTTAAAACTATATCTGTAATTCACAAAAAGCATAAAAATGAGACTCTGATTACTTCTTCATTTTGACAAAAAATTTTCATGAGAACTTCAGAGTTTTCCATGTGTGTTTTTGGATGAGCTTCTTTTGGGGGTACTTAAGTCACCTACTATTATTTCTTCTGCAGAGAGCCGTGGAAAGGGCAAAGTGTCTGTAATGAAGGCATAAACCTGCCTCTGATCAAAGTAACTTATACAGAGCTTGAGATTGTAAAAAGGAATTTAAATACGATTTCTGGAAATATAATATAATCCTTGTTTTCACTTTTTGCTTCATCACACTGTAAGGTGAACAGACTTTTGCCCTTCCCCATTTACCCAACTGCATGCTGCCTCCTCGGTTTTGTTTGTCCTGGGAGTGTAGATTCAAATGAGTACTTCCAAAAGACTTGTAGGATAAGGGGTCCATTACATGCTCGAGCCCACCCAGCATCCTAGTGATGCTTTAGACAAAGGGGAGGAGGCACATCACACTTCACCAGGCATCTGTGGGACTAGTCCAGAACCAATTAGGAGGGAGGGGAAGTAAAGACAACTTGACTAAAAAACTCACTTTCTTATTGATATAGTATGGGTCCAGGTCCTCCAAGGGCTCTGACACCATCTCTGGAGGAATGTCTCCATAAATAAATGGGAGAGATTTCCCTGCTTCCAAGTCACTATTTGGCTTTGGGCCATTTTCATCATCCTCATCCTTACGCTCTTGTTTGGGTCTCTTAGCTTTCTCTTCTGCAATGCGCTGTTCAATAGCAGCAAGGGATTCCCTGGTAAAGAAGCGGAAGCTGTCAGGTCCTGGTGGTACCAGCACTGACTGTGCCATCTTTTCATCCTGCTCCTTTAATCACTGTTTAGCTCCTTGCATAAGAAAGTGCTATGGAAACGAGAGAGAGAGAGAGAGAGAGAGAGAGAGAGAGAGAGAGAGAAGCAACAGTCATTAGGATAAAAGGTAACTGTGGCAATAACATGAGATTGAGATAAAATATATAAACCAAGCTCTCTGCAATATTTTACTGAGGAAGCTGTATTCAGGGGATTCTCAGGCATGCATTCATTTGCTTGCATGGAGATCTTTCACATTCAGTGGATGTCTATGAGGTAATCTAGTCTCCCACTCCCAAAATGTTCTAAGTGAAAATATCCAATTCAGAGCTCGGAAATGGAGGATACTGGTTTGTGCTTGCTGTTTCACTGTGAATATTTTGGCAGCCATCTTTTTCAGCATCCTTTCTGAAAAAATATCAGGGATCCAAAACAAGAGATGAAAAATCACCCAAAATTATAGAACCTGGGCTATGCAAGGATCTTGCATGTACCTCTCCATTTTTTCCATGTTCCTTTTGGCCTACTTTCCCACCTTTAATAGCTTATTCAAAATCAACGCACCTGGTAAAGAGCTCTGGAAATCCTGAAATGTCAGGCTATGGAAACATAGGTAGATACTGCTTGAAAGCAAGGGAGCAGGAAGGAGCGGGGGATGCCCGATTGCATTTGGAACTGCTCGGAAGCTGCACAGGAAGGGATCCAGCTCCTGCCAAACTGGGCAGGAAGTCATCCACATCAGAGGTCTGGATCTTGGACCCCCCTGGCTGAGCAACCTGCTGCTACCTAGTATAATTGTTTCTGAAATTAACAAATTTGCAGTACTTAGGAAATACTGTAGAATTAGTTCATTTTCTCAAATAGTGCCCATTTCATAAAAATCTAAATAGCAGATTTAGACTTGAAAAAATAACAAGTTTAAGATAGTTTATCTCTTAAACAAACTCCTATTTGTTGGTCTTTGCCACATAAATGGAGGCTTACTGTATTCTAATCATATTTCACCGGACTAACATATATAACTTAACAGAGCACACCAATCATTCCAAATGTTATCTCTGAATCAGTGGCAAGAGTTTCTATGATTTTTGAAATCATACAACCAAAAGCTTAACTCCTGAATGCCATCTGTATACAATCACTTATCTATTTTTCCTTCTTTTTAAAATATCAATCCGTTGTAACCCCCATCCTACAGGAATGAGAATTGCTATTTAATTATATGAAGTGCATTTTCAAAGAGTAAATGCATTAATATCCAGATCACTTCTGTAGCATATGCCAGATCAAACAGGGAAATTTAAAATAACATAAGCTACTCTACCGTTTCTACATTTTTTTTTTTGAAGTAGACTAGGACCTTTCAGCCACTAGCTAGCAGACTGCCCTCTCAGTACCACACTGCCTCCAAAACATCCCTCATTTACCTTACCCATCCCCAGAGACCCTCATGCCTCGACGGACATAGGCATGAAGAAGGTCCATGCATACTCCATGGAGGAAACTGCCATGCCTGGATGCTCTAATAGAAGAGACATGCTAAAACATGCAGCCAGCAGCTTCAAAATGAAAGTGGTCCTCTGCAGATTCCCCCAAGGATTCTACTGTAAAGGTAGAGAAGCATCACAGAGAATAAGCATAATAAGAATATTAAAACATTACCCCTGCAGAATCTTTTACACCCAGAGTTTGGGATTGATAAGCTGGCACCAAGAAGACTGCAGCTAAAATTCCATCATTCTTTTTTTCTTTTTTTCATTTTTTTTTTTTTTTAAATTCTCCTTCAAAGACCACACCTAACTTCCTGTAAAAGGATTCTGGTAACTGAAGTAAGAACAGGCATTTCCTGTTTGGGGACTACAAAATGGCGTTATTATAACTACCACTAGAGGGCAGGGGAACTGTGAAGAGAAACCCCTCACAGTGTATGTACACAGAGCCCTGTGTTTGAAGCAGCCCAAAGCTTTCACTAACGGAGCTCTGATTTTTCACAGGCTTTTCTTAGAACAAAATGTTAAGACTTTGCTGATTTCAGTCATTAATTCTGCTAACAGATTAAGCTTCTGTTCATACTTTTTATTTGCTAAGCCAGAAGTCAATCAATACAAATAATTCAAATTAAAAGTAAAAAAAGAAAGTAAATACTGAATGTTAAAAATAAAAACTCATAAAAAAAGCAATTATATTAATGAAAGTCTTACATACAGTGGAATTTAACATTAGCCTCAGCCCCAGAGTATCTGAACTCCAATAAAGTGCTTTGCTAATTCAACAGAGATGGTCTTTGTGCTATACAAATAAACTTTCTCTAGAAATAAAATAACCCTGATGAGACTCCTATTTAAACTCTGATTTTAGTGGCTGAAAAGCAGCCAGAAGAAAACTGAAAAGCCAGTGAAATCCTAATGCCAGTCTTTCAATTAGTGATATAGTAATGATTTGAGGACTTACTATGTGCCAGTCACTGACAGGGCTGACATGTCTACATGCACCATATCATTTCATCCTCCCCACAAGCCTATCAAATAAACACTTTCACGATCCTGATTTGAAAACTGGAGAAAGGAAGTACACAGGGGGTAGAAAAAGTCATCTAAGATCATACACGCAGGATTCAAACTGAAAGTCTGACACCAAACATGTGTGAACTTTATTCAGTCATAAAAAGAAACATTTGCTCATGCAACTAAAGCCTGAAATAAAGATTAAATAAAAATCAGGCAGTGGTACCAATTATAACCAGAAACAGTCCTAATTATTAAATCAATATATTTTGCATTTTTCTAGTTTCCTCATTTTCATTAGAAAATGTATTTGTTGGAACTAAACATAGAGAAGATATAGCCAAAAATAATTTTTTAATCACTCAAGCAGGTCTCTTTTGGTTATAAGAGACAAAAGGATGACTCACACTGGCTTGAGAAAGAGAAAGAAAGAAAGAAAGAAAGAAAGAAAGAAAGAAAGAAAGAAAGA